ATGGTGTACTTTCTATAACAATCAATTCTTCAGCATTCTTTGACTATTGAACAATATCACTCTTTTGACTGGGGTGGATATATTTTTCATAAATCTAAAAACCATATTATCATACATGTACAAAACATAGACAATACTGTTTTGTGATCTAGAAAAACTTGCCTGAAAAGGCTGCAACAAGACCTTGAGCTTCCTGACTCCAATCATATCCACGAATAGCTTCATACACACCCCCGTAGTCTCGCATCCACAACTTCTGGCCAATTTTCCAAGCAGCAATGACTTCTGGATTGCCCTCTTTGAGAGTGGCAGGCATTGATTTCCAAAGAAACCGCATACTATTACTGCATATTTACCACCCGACAGATCAAATTCTAAATAGATGTAGAACAAAAATAACGAAATCAGATTTGACACAGGATGCCCCAAATAGCAAAACAACATTAACAATATAATGCAAAATTGCAATACAACATGCAATCAAAACCCAGAATGGCAAAGCAATATTTTACTCTTCAAGCCATCATCAGGAAAAAAGATATAGCAGATTAAGCTAAAATAGAGGTATAGGGTTGGGGAGCAAGAAGAATTAAAAAAGAGTAAATCATAATATTTAAAATGAAACAAAAATAGAAAGGAAAAAAAACACACATATCACCAGCGTAAATGTGACCGAGAAGATGAATGGCGTAGGGCCAGTCGTCCTGAAAAGCAACGCCCTCGGCTGCGACCTGTACGATCAGAGACAGAGACAGAGACAGAGAGCAGCGAGTGAGAATATAAACAGAAAATTTTGAACTTTTTATTTATGGATTGAAACCCAAATCAAACCTGAAGCATGTGTTCTTCACAGGTATCGGCGACCTTTTCATACGATTTGGAGGTCAAGGCCTCTGATAGGAGAGAGAAATCCATGGCTGCTTTGTTTGCTCTCTGTATTTTGTTGCTGTGTAGCATAAAGTTCGAAATTCATGAATGATAAATTTATCACAATAAAGAAACAATTTCTAGCTCTGCTGCACCGATACGGCACTTTTTAGGGTATGCGCGTATCAGATACGGCTCCAATACAATACGGCATCGATACGCTACCTGATGTATCGCAGGCTTTTTCAAGATGTTGACTTTACGATACGGCTCCAATACTCTATCGATACGGTCACGATACTCTCGCGATACGGTCCAGATATGTCAAGTGATAAAAGTAAAAATATTTTGAAAATTTTGGGGTGATTTTAGCGGTAACCCAAAAAAGGAGGAGGAGGAGGAGGAGGAGGAGGAAGAATGAAGAACGAAGAAGAAAATAACTTACTTACAATACACACCGTTTTAGTTGCATGTTAGGTAGCCTATGTTAAAAAGGTGTTTTATAACTTTTTATGTCTGACGCATTCATTTGGGCCCAAGCCCAAGAACTGAAATAAGTCATATATGACCTAGAAAAACCTCAAGAACTACAAAAAAATATCCAAAATTATAATTTTACATATGTAATATATGTTTACAATTTTTATATTTATATTATTTTTAATATATATTATTTTAATTGCTGTATTGGTGCTGTACCCATATCCTAGTTTTTGAAAATTTACCGTATCAACGTATCGTATCGTATCGCCTAACCCATATACGTATTGGTGCAACATAAATTTCTAGAACTTCAAACTCACCCACCAAAAAATGAAATTTAAATCTAAAATTGCATACCAAAAGGATCTGGAGAGTTAATTCAACTAATAATAGAGTAAACTTGGAATGCCAAAAAAAATTCAACTAAAACCCTGTAGAAAATAAAACCCAAGAAATAAGAAATGGAAGAGAATAAAAAGGAAATATGAAACAAAATCAAGGAAACTGATTGTTGCTAGAGGGTGGGGGTTCAGTGGATCTTAAATCTGTGATGAGATGGGGTCCAAGATTAGAATATATTGCAGTAAGACATCCTTCTTGGGATGAGATGAGATCGAAGATGGTTGTGCATCAAAATCGAGAAAAATAATAGAATCATCCAAACCTTCAAAAAGTAGTTAATGAAACATTAGTTTTTTATTTACATGTCAACTTTTTATTTATTTGTAGTGATATTATATTTCAAGTTTAAGTAATCAAGATAACATCTTATCTTTATTTTTGGTTACATTGGGAGGAAAGAAACCCCTTGGGGTTTCGAACCTGGGTGTCAAGCAGGGGGAAAGGGGGAGGCCACCGCTGTGGTACCTGCTATCTTTATTTTGATTACCATTCATTGACAATTTTCTGTGCATAAAGTACAAAAATATAAATATAAACGTTATTTCACCAAATAATGTAAAATCTAAGAACATGGATTTTAACAAGTTGATTTTTAGTTTAAAATATTATATATACAAGTTGATTTTACTAAAAGAAACATTTGAATTGATTAAGGGTAAAATAAATACAAGTTATAAAAAATAGAAAGTATTAAGTCATACGAATCGACATAAATAAAGTTACAAAGCATTAGATTTTCACAAGTTGGCAATTGCCTTTGATACAAAAAAGTATGCTTTACCATCAATTGCCGAATCGATACTCATCAATTGTCAAATCGATACCCATCAATTGCCTATTTTTCTTTCGCTTAGCCCCATCAAGTTGGCAATCGACAAGCATACAACACGTAATTGCAATTCCAATTTTCGAAAACCAACTACCTGATTGGCAATTTCGAAACTCATGGTTTTACAAGATTGGGGATAAACTTTACAATGTTTGGGAACGCTCATGTCCCAAACGATGTAACATGGGTCTATAATGTTGTAAACCCTTGTTTTTACAAGAATAAGGAGCAATTTTACTTATTCAAGGTCCAACAATTCTTGAATATTGTAATTGAGATCCTTTTCAATGTAAATTAGGCTATTACAATATTATCGATCAAAGTGAACCTTAACGTTGTAATAACAATGCCAAAGCTTGTACATTCGAACCTGAATTTTGTAATCTACAAGTTTATGGATAAACATTACAATGTTATGAAATACTGATGTGCCCAACACTGTAATATGAGTCCTTGATATTGTAAACCCCTGTTTTTACAATATTAGGGATACACTTTATAAGTTTATGGAATTCTCATGTCCAAAACTGTGTAACATGAGTCCTTACATAGTAAACCTTGGTTTTTACAAGAATAAGAACCCAATTTTACTTCTTCAAGGACCGCCCTTACCTTAATATTGTAATTGAGATATTTTTCATTATAAATTAGGCTATTACAATATTATGGCTTAACATGAACCTTAACGTTGTAATCACGATGTAAAATCTCGTAAATTTAAACCCAAATATTGTAATCTACAAGATTAAGGATCTACTTTACAATGGTATGGAACTTTCATGTGCCAAACATTGTAACATAAGTCCATAATGTTGTACACCCATGTTATTACAAGATTACGGATGCAATTTATAATGTTATGGATGTCTCATGTCCCAAACACTATAATATGATTGCTTAATGGTGTAAACCCTTGTTTTTACAAGATTAGAGATAACATTTACAATGTTATGGAACTCTCAAGTCCCAAATATTGTAGCATGAGTGTTTAATATTGTAAATTCTAGTTTTTACAAGAATAAACAATAATTGTTTAAGGTCCACCAGACAAAAATATTGTAATCGAGATCATTTTAATAGTAAATTAGGCTATTACAATATTATAGATTCAAGTAAATCTTAATGTTGTAATCAAGGTGCAAAAATGCATAAATTCGAACCCAAATCTTGTAATCTACAAGATTAAAGATAGACATTATAATGTTATGGAATAGTTATGTGCAAACACTGTAATATGAGTCCTTAATTTGTAAATTCCTCCTATTACAAGATTATAGATACCATTTACAATCTTTTGGACATCAATGTTCCATAAACTGATACAGTGTATCCATATACTGGTAATATCGTAATTTACATCCGAAGGGATCTCAATTACAAGGTTATGGCAAGAGTGGACCTTGAAGATGTAAACTTGGTCCTTATTTTTGTAAACACAATGGTTTACAACATTAAGGATTCGTATTAAAATAATTTGGACGTAAGCATTTCATAAACTTGTAAAATGGATCCTTAAGTTTGTAAATTACAACATTTGGGTACGCATTTACGAGACTTTCCACCTATGTTACAACGTTAAGGTCCACCCTAATCCTTAATATTGTAGTACCCTAATTTACAAAGAAAGGGACCCTTAGTACAATGCTAAAGTAAGTAGACATTGAAGGAGTAAAAATGGATCCTTAGGCTTTTAAACACAAGGGTTTACAAAATTAAGGATCACTATTATACTATTATGGAAGAAGGTGTTCCATAATATTCTAAACCATATCTTTAAGTTTATAAATTACAGCATTTGGGTTCGCATTTACAAGAGTGTGTACCTCTGTTACAACTTTAAGGTCCACCCTAATCCTTAATATTGCAATACCCTAATTTATAAAGAAATGGAACCCTAGTACAATGCTAAGGTAAGTGGATCTTGAAGAAGTAAAATTGGGCCCTTATGCTTGTAAACACAATGGTTTACAACATGTTAGTATGAAAATTGTATTGTCATTTCCTAGACTCTAGCATAGGTTGAAAATTAGTGTGTGAAGAATTGTTACTGGACGTTTTGGCACAACTCATTCAACCACATACTTCCGAGGCACGACTTGACCATATGAGAAACTTGACAACAGGTAAATCATGACATAATCATGCATTCATTATAGGATTCCTAGTTTGAGTTATTTTCACTCAAGTGTTTTTATGTTAATCTTATTCTTAATAGGATTAGATTTTATCTCTTGAGATTACTTTCCTAGTTGGACTCTATTTTAATTTAAGTTAAAATATTATGTTTTCATTATCTTGGACTTGGAAAGCATGTTTCAATGAATATCCTATTTGGCTTTGTTGTTTACATGCTGATAAACATTGTTTCATTGGATAACAATTGATTGTTGGAAAACCATATTTTATAATACAAAAGCTGACGAAATTACAATAGGAATCTAAGAGAATGAAATATGTTAAATGGCAAGAGAGTGAGCACGTGGCCTTGTGCTTTTCTCTTGCAAAAAGGAGTTGTAGTCTGAATGGGTCTTAGAGTCATAGTTGCTTTGGAAGTGTAGTCTCGTGGTTTGCTCTCTAGTGAGAGAAACCTGCTTTGCATAAAGGCATTGTTGTTTCTTTTTCAATCAAGGCTTTTTTGCAATTACATCTTTGAGCATATTGAATCTTTGAGCAAAAGTCTGTCGTGCTTATTTCTGTAGTCTGAATGGGTCTTAGAGTCATAGTTGCTTTGGAAGTGTAGTCTCGTGGTTTGCTCTCTAGTGAGAGAAACCTGCTTCGCATAAAGGCATTGTTGTTTCTTTTTCAATCGAGGCTTTTTTGCAATTACATCTTTGAGCATATTGAATCTTTGAGCAAAAGTCTGTCGTGCTTATTTTTCTTTGGTAATTCATCAAGTGCTCCTTTGTTTCTTGGTGACTTATCGAATTTATTCATCATTCATATTGCATAAATATGCATGTCGGTGACTCATATGGTTGAGTGCACCAAGACCGTGGTGGCAGTTTTCCTCCGGCGAGCTTGAAGCAATCGTGACCGACCGGCAGGGGGCTGTAGCCAAAATGAGTTTGTCTTTAAGCTCTTCATCCATTCATCCAAATTAGGCCTTAACATGCTTGAATTGCATGAATTATGCTCTCTAAAGCCATCATTATTACCTAAAGCTCAATGAACTGAAAGATAAACACAAAAAGGATTAAAAGCACAAGTTTAACTCAAAAACATAACCAAATCATAAGCTAGAAGGGTACAAAATGATATACAATTATGAACCGATCAAGTACTTCTTGTAATCATCATTCTATAGTGGATTTGTGTTGGACTGAGAAGTCCCGTGGATTTTCCCCAGAGGTGGGGTTTTACCACGTAAAATAATTCTCTACGTGTTCTTTTATTTTATGCCCGGCACGTTTCAGGATTGATAAGCCATATCAATCTTGCTACCAAAGTTTAATTTTTGTTTATTGATTATAATATTAAATTGGCATATTCACCCCCCATCTAGGCATTTTTAGTCATCCTACAGGTATTTTCACAACATTAAGGACTATTATTACACTATTATGGACAAAGGCGTTCCATAATCTTGCATTCCGAGATTTGGCAATGACATGTGTATATATATTAATAATATTTCCCTTATGGTTTGTGTGATTAGAATGGTTAAGTACAA